ATGAATCGAATGGTCGAATTTCAAGACCAAGTTCATAAGATTGCTTAAGTTAAGATGACAAAAAAAAGATGAATCGAATGGTCGAATTTCAAGACCAGGTTCTTAAGATTGCTTAAGTTAAGATGACAAAAAAAACAATAAAAAAAACAACAAAAAAAAACAACAAACAATAACCCAAAAAAATTAGTTTCATGCATATTAGCGACACTTTCAAATATCCTTAATCCACATCCCTACAAAGGTTTATAACATTTGATGCTTTCGAGAGCAATTTTCCCCAATATACAGTAAACCAGTTTCTGTTTAGATTGTCACAGAAATAATTCAATTAATATGTTTAATATGTTTCCAATTTAATATGTTTTCACTAGTAAAAAAATTAATTTTTTTAACTCTAGTTTTTATGTTTCTTGTCACAAGAACTTTCACTGATACCAAGATTGTCATCAATCAATTCACCTTCCAGTTGAGCAAGCCACTCTTTATGTAAAATTACACAATACTTTGAGCAAGCCACTCTGTATTACACAATACTTTGTATCTTTTTAAAGTTGTTATTCTACAGGAAGTAATTAAAAGAAAATTTTTTCAAAAATAAAAGTTAAATACTGCCTACTTTCATTAATATCTGCTGGAGAAAAACTACTAACTGTTTGATTTTCAACAGGATGCTCTCTTTCACCATTATCTAAAGATTTTGAGGTTTATGTTATTAAATGCATTTGCTTAAGACTTATAATCCAAATTTTAAAAATAAAAGTAATTATAAAAACCTTGTAAAATAAATTGAGCTTTTGAACACTGTGGAGACAGAGTAGGTGTTGGGGTGGGTTGTGGTAACATATTTTGCTGGTCATGCAGTTGGAGTGGATACCAATGACATAAGTTATCAAGTGGAGCTTCTAGCATACTTATTAATATTTCTCCAAGAAACTCATTGCTTTCTGAACGCTCATAATCCCATAATGTGATCTCTAGATATCTCCCTTTAAACTGATGAAATAAAAAATACAACACAATTTATTTATGAGATATTAATTTATTATTTGCTAGAATAAAAAAACTATTAAATTTTTTTTTCGATTTTTATACTAACTATGGGTATTTAATATGGTTTATTTAGTGACATTTACCATGGTTTAGTTTATTTAGTAACATTATTTAATATAGTTTAGTTTATTTAGTAACATTATTTAATATGGTTTAGTTTATTTAGTAACATTATTTAACATGGTTTAGTTTATTTAGTAACATTATATAACATGGTTTAGTTTATTTAGTAACATTAAATTATACCACATTGTAGTTTTTGGAGTCAGATGATTTACTATTATGACAAAGTTTAACTTCATTAATATCTTCTGGAGATAAGTATGGTAGTATGTCCAAAACAGAAGTCTGTGATAGTATTGAAGTGTCTCGCTGTCAAAATAATTTAAAAAAAAATAGAATTATGTAATTATATTGAATCATTGTTAGATAAAATTTAATAAATTTATGTTTAGTTATTTAAGGTGGTGTAGGAGGCATATAATTAAGGCTTAAAAACCATCATCTCTGTGGTTGTCTCTGTGGTAAACCCATTGGTAACCAAGCTTAACCTAACAGTTTATTGAAACTATATTTATTTAATGGTTTTTTGAAACTGCAAACTTACCGCACTGCATTGTTTTAAAAATTATAATACTAGAATGAGATTTAAAAATATTAAAAAAATTCTTAAAATGCAAATATATTCCTAAATCATCATAATAAAAAATAAATCTGGCAAATTTGTAATCTTATATTGTAGAGAATCACTCAGATTGTTTTTAACATCATTGAAAAGTACAATGTAATAAAACTTAAATATTCATCATTTTGGACTCTGGGCCTTGGAGCTTTATAACTCCACAGAGAAAATAAGTATAGTACTTTAAGAAAATCATTTTTGAATCCCAAGTAATGGTCACAAAAAATTTAAAGTCAAGTTTTAAAACACTTTTTATTTGTGTTACCTTGTTACTGTGCATTTTATCTATAAAATATTTTCTTCAAAATAAAGTAAACAAATTTTACAAACACTTCATAAGTAAAAGGTTGAATGATACTAAATTTATATAAAAAATTTAAAAATTTAAAAAAATAAATTGTCATTAAAAAATCAAGAAACCACAAAAAATAACATCAAGAAATTATATCAAAAACTTAAAAAGAAATGTATAAAAAAGAAATAACTTCTAAAAAATAAAATTACTTTTTGACTTTTGAGAGTGTACATAAATGTCTGATTCCATGTGGGTGACAGAGAACGTAATACAGTTTTAGTTCGTCTTTTGCTTTGTAAACTAGAATTGAATTGGATTGTTATCATTAATGGAAAAACATAAATCCTTAAGCATAAAACAACAGTACAACAAATATTTCATTTAAATACAATAAACTTTCAGTCAAACTCTTAGTAAGAAGATTCAAGGATAAAAATATAATTAATCAACTTATGAATTATTAATTCATGGTAAATGATCTTGAAATGTTTTTTTAGATTAATATTGTCAATGCATCCATTGACTGAAAGATTTATATTGTATGAAAACAGTGGATTAATAATAGTCATTGAGCATAATGGTTTGAAAATAAATTGCTATGTAAACTTAAAATCAAAAAATGAAATTCATTTTGTTGCATAAATAAAAGAGTTTTTAAAATTAACAACAATTAAAACCTTCTATCAGGTAAAAAGTAAAGTTTCACATAAGGATTACGAAGCTGCATATTCTGACGATGATTTAAACCTTGAGCTCCAATAATAGAGACATAAAGACAACTTGTGTCTTCTTCGTATTTTAATTTGATCTAAAATTTCATTTTAAAAATTGAAAAAAAATTAATTTTAAAATTAAAAAAATTTCAAACTAGGTATTATAAAACAAATAGTATGCATAAAAAAAAACTAAAAAAATAATAATATATAATTATGTAAATATAGAACATTTTATATTAAGCTACAGTGTGTATAAAATTTAATTTACCTGCAATTGTCCAGAAATGTTATTTGCTTTCAAAATCTAGAGGTAAAATATAAAGACTAGTTTTATCTTTTTAACTAACAAAAATATAAAAAAATCTTTTAAAATCATTTAAAATTTAATTAACTGAGTTCAAAGACTCAGAAAAGACTATTAGTTTTATAATCAATTTTGGTACCGAATTTTTGAAAAATGGCAACACCTAAAGTGTTATTAACTTTTTAGGCTACAATTACTATAGAAGATTACAAAAAAATTCAAACAGACATTTATTATAAAGAAACTAACACTCTTGGCTACTTCAGCTATAAGTTAGACAAATTTATAAATTCAGACGTCTGGCTTTTACGGAGGAGAATACAGCGCCAAACTTGTAAAAATAATTTTTTTTACTGTGTTATCCTATGTAAAAGCCGGACATCTGGCAACCCTAGCTATAATAATCATCATTCATTTCCCATTAAAAAAAAAAATTCCTTATAATTTAGCAAAAAGAATAATTTTTTTACATCTAATTACAATATCGAAAAGTTACGCTTAATAGAACTAAAGTTGTGGCTAAAAGATTGTGATTATCCTGATAGCATTATAGAAAAAGCATTTCATAATGCAAAGTTGCAAGGAACCACTAACGAGATCTAAAGAAATATTTTCTTTAGTGATAACCTTCTACAGCAATCTTAGTTATTTCTTCAAATATTGAAATAACCAACAAGAAAATTGAATTATTCAAATGCAAAGATACTCTATGCAAAATTTGCAAACTCTACCTTCAAGAAGTAGATGAGTTCAAAACATCTAACTGTACTTTATAGAAAGTAAGAAGTCATTTCACTTGCAACAGTAAAAATGTAATTTATTACCTTAAATGTATATTGGTAAAACTAATAATTTGTTTGGACATATTTCTAGTTACAGAACCCGCCTATCCACTGATAGATTTGGCAACCATGTTTATATTTGTCAACATGCCTATAATATCATTTTTAAACCATTTTTCCAGCTTTTTGTCTTCTTTGAACTTAACAATGAGAGTTTTTTATTATCATATGAAAAGCATTTAGATAATCAAATGCATGATGCATTTAATTAATATTTCCTGTATCAAAATAAAATTTATCAATTACAATAGTTGCTTAGTGTAACTATGTGTAATTTACATTTTTTTGTTTATAATAATTTTGTAACAATAACATAAACAGCACTAGTGATAATTTTTTGAAAAGCTTCTAGTGCTAATAAATTAAAAATTTGAATTTTTGTATTAGTCTATTTTTTAGAATTGTGTTTTAAATAAAACATTTTTAGACAACAAAATTTATTGGAATTTCGCTTTTGTTTATTTACTGGTTTGACGAATTTTTCAATTTATATCAGTTAAAACCATATCTCAAGTTTATATATATATATATATATATATATATATATATATATATATATATATATATATATATATATAATATATATATATATATATATATATACTTTATGTAATTAAATAAATAAAAACAACTAAATAGCGGGACTTAAAGTTTCATGCCCGAAGGCAACCATCAGTCGTGAATACAAACAAAAAAAAGGAGAAAAAAGGAAAAAAAGGTTTTTTGTTTGTATTCACAGCTGATGATTGTCTTCGGGCATGAAACTTTAAGTCCCGCTATTTAGTTGTTTTTATTCATTTAATTATAATTAAACTGTACAACAACGAAAAAAAAACGGAAATGCCATTGACACTACCTTATGTATTTTGATTTGGAGATTACGAAAATAATGTCCGTTTTGTTTTGTGACCCACCAATTTTGACGGAAATTCACATTTTCAAATTTTCGATTTTCACTATGAAAGTTGTCAATGTGATTTTTATTATATTTAATAGCAGTTGTTTATGATTTATTTATTAGCATTTTTTTATCATATACCTATTTGCATTTGTTTAACCTTGTATTAGACTAAATGTAAGTCTGTTTTATTTTAGATAAACTACAGTTAGCCAAGTTATATATAGATATAATACAGTGTATGATATAATACAGTTGCATTTGTTTAACCTTGTATTAGACTAAATGTAAGTCTGTTTTATTTTAGATAAACTACAGTTAGCCAAGTTATATATAGATATAATACAGTGTATATTGAAACAAGAAATGCCCAGAACTTTTAAAAATCAAGCCGACAATTTTTGCTACATTTGTGGCGAAATGACTTTAAAGAGATGCAGACGAAGATTGACACCACATGTGAAAAAACTGTATAAACTATACTTTGGTTGCAAAGTCGGCGACCAGGATAAGAACTGGGCGCCTCATGCATGTTGTGTGAGGTGCGTTAGTTCACTATCGTCATGGGTGAACAGGACTGGTGGAGGACCAACATTTGGGGTGCCAATGGTGTGGCGTGAACCCCAAAATCATTGTTCAGATTGCTATTTCTGTTCTGTTAACATATCAGGTCGCAATTCAAAGGGTAAGAAAGCTATAGTGTACCCAAATCTACCTTCAGCTATTCGTCCTGTTCCTCATTCGGCTGAACTCACTGTTCCTGAACCTCCATCGGAAATCCCAAACACGGAAAGTTCTGATTCAGACGAGGATACTGATGACGATGATAGTTACGAGTTGCCAGAAGATACAGAGCGTAAACCCCACTTCATAACAGGATCTGACCTGAAAGATCTCGTTTGAGATTTGTATTTAACAAAGCAACAGAATGAATTGCTGGCTTCACGTCTCCAGGAGTGGCATCTATTGGCTGGTGATGCAAGAGTGTCATCATTTAGAAAGCGATCACGGGAACTGCAGCAATACTTCTCTATGGATAAAGAACTTTGCTTCTGTAATGACATCAGTGGATTGTTTGATGATCTAGGAATACAATACGATTCATCTATGTGGAATTTGTTTATTGACGCATCACGTTATAGTATTAAGGCAGTATTACTGCATACTGGAAATGTGCTGCCTTCCATTCCCATAGCACATTCGGTAACCCTGAAGGAAAGCTATGTGAATATATCACTTATTCTGGACAGAATTAAATACAGAGATCACAGATGGTCCATATGTGCAGATTTGAAAGTTGTTGCTAAACTAAATGGATTGCAGGCTGGTTTTACTAAGTACATGTATTTCGTCTGCAAATGGGATAGCAGGATGAGATCAGAACATTATATGAGGAAATGTTGACCACAACGAGAAACATTTGAGGTTGGTTCCCATAACGTCATTCATGAACCTCTTGTGGATAAAGAGAAGATCGTCTTGCCCAATCTTCACATCAAGCTTGGAATCTTCAAACAGTTTGTAAAGGTGTTAGATCTCGACAAACCAGCATTTCAGTATTTGCAGACCAAATTTCCTAAAATCAGTGACGCCAAAATTAAAGAGGGCATTTTGGTGGGGCCCCAAATAAGAGAACTGATGCTGGATGAAACGTTTTCGGTAACGATGGATCAATATGAACTTGCAGCATGGGATGCATTCAAACGGGTGTGCTAGGGATTTCTTGGAAAACATATTGCACCAAATTACGCTGATTTGGTAGACAGATTAATTGCATCCTATCAACAACTGGGTTGTAACATGTCGCTGAAGCTCCACTTTCTTCATTCCCATCTTTCCTTCTTCTCTGTCAATGGAGATGTATATGATGAAAATGGCGAGCCCTTTCATCAGAGTATTGCCACAATGGAAAGCAGATACAAGGGAAAGTGGAGCCCCGCCATGCTTGCAGATTACTGCTGGAATTTGCACCGCGATGAACCCGATGCAGCATTCAAACGCCAGGCTAAATACAATTAAATACAAGTAAACAATTTGTGTTACAAATGATAATAAACATGTTCATACACTTATTCATATGTATAGAAAAATGCATCTTACGTTACATCTTTAAATCGTTATTTCAAAATATTTTGACGTGCTACAGCATAACTGATTACATATTTGGAATCAGCACGTCTGAATTAATAAAGATAACCTAATTTGGTTCTTGTTTTTTTCAAAAAGTTAAAAATTGTTGTACAGTGTTACATAAAGTATAAATTGCTCTATTATTTGATAATATTGAGCACTGTCATACAATCAAGAGTTTTTGTATTTTACACCTCAATACTAACCTCACTTTAAAATTTAACCTCAATTTTAACCTAACCTCAATTTTGAATTTAGAAATAGACCTTTGTTGTATCCCATGATTCAATTTATTCTAATGTTTCTTTGTAGTCATAAAAACATGTTTGCATAGCAGTAAAATTTTCATTTTTTGTAGATTTTTTTTTGTACATATAGTAAGCATGTAAATATTTTGATAGCCTTTTAACCTAAACCCGTATATATCAATACTTATGTAAACCTGTATATATCAATACTTATGTAAACCCATATATACCAAAACTTTACTGTAAATAATTTGTGCCATGTTAAAGGAGATTTTTGATATCTGTTATTGAAAAATGTATTAAAGGTAAAAAGTGAAAATTGGTTATTATCTCAATCAAAGCAGAGATGAGCAAGCGAGATTATACCTGAGATGAGCCAGATTTTACCTTTTTCATCCTAAATCAAAACTAAGAACAGCAAATATCTTCAAGTTTTTGCATGTCTACCTCCTTTATTGAAAGAGAATTCCAACACCTAAAACGAAAAAAGAAGACCAGATCAGATTCACTACCTTCAAATATGCTGAAAGCTCTATAGAAATAGCTGTTCTATTGGTACATACAATAAAGCTCTTAACACAAAAGTTTTCCCTACTTTATGGAAACACCCAAAAGTATGTCTAATTTTCAAATCCAACAGTGCAGATATAGGTGAAAACTATAGTCCTAATATTCAGCTCTACCAATTTCTTGAAAAGAATCATTACTCAGCTATTGTCAATTTGGAAATCTAATTGATCACCACATGTCAACACCAAATCTGAAGAATAGTATAAAATTGCAAGTAATCTAATAAAATGATCCAAAAAACTAAACAATGTAAAAGACTTCTTATAAAATGTCAAAATATCAAGTTTTCAATAACTTCTTTGAAGATTTTGATTACAGTAAACAAACTAGAAATATCAAAAACTTATTTAAACTTCCAAAGATAAATTTTAAATTGCACAGTAAAGTTTTTATTACAGAAAAAATTTTAAAATCATCAACTTTTTTTTAACTTTTACATTTGAGAGTTATTATTAATACTGTCAATTTAATTTATGTTTATTCAGCGTTTCAATAATAATATTAATAACCATTAAAACTTAATATCTTGATAGTGGTTTGGGGAATTTATTTTGAATGCAATTTTTTGCACAAGAAATTTAGATTTCTTGTGCAACTTTTTGCAATTCGCACAAGAATGCAATTTTTTGCACAAGAAATTTAGATTAGGAATTTCTTGAGACAAAAGAAATTTATCTAAATTTATTCAAAAATATTAATTAGCAAATTATTAATTATTGGTTGTAAAATGAATATTTCATAAAATTATTTATATCTGATCATATCTCTCTAATAATTGATCAAATCTCTCTAATACTGGATCAAATCTCTATAATACTGGATTATGCACTTAAAAAAAAACATGTTATCAGCATTAGCAAAGTACATAACAAAAGTTATTAAAATGTCTTTAACAAAATTTTTAAACATAAATTTTACAATAAACTTATTTATAACGAAAACATTGTTTTGAAAGTCTACTTTAATTAATTTTGGAAAAAACACCAAGGGAAGTGTTTTAATGTAAGTTGAACTTATTAAAACTTTGCTAACCAACTTTCCCCCCCCCCCCCCTATCCTTCTCTCTATTACTAACATCACCCATGTATATTGTTAAGATCTATATTTCGTAAGAGCATAATGATACATTTTATGTATTTCTATTTTCTTTGAATGAATGTAATGTTAGAATCATATATTTAAAAAAATAACAGTAAAAAACATCAAAGTCAAATTTGTTAACATATTGTTATTTTGTAACTAAACTTGGACTTTATAAAAATGTAAGCTAAATTGTTTGTTTTTTAAAAAAAAAAAAAAAAAGTTTTAAAATTTTTAAAACAAAGTAAATAAACACTAAATATATTAAATAGGGAAAATTGTGATATAGAACAAAACAAGGTTTTATCCAACTCGAAGATCTACTTTGTAAACAGCAAAAAGAAATAGTGTGGCAAGTAAAATTTGAAAAAGAATTTAATAAGAATAACAAGAAATTATCATGAGCAATTCTATTACAAGTGTCTAATGATTTAAAAAAAAAATTAAAGACATGCTGTAAAAATAACCATTTTAACCATACCCACACATCAGCATTTAAATCAATAATAATATTAGTTAAGCTGCACTAACATATCACTGAAGCAAATCACTCACTCTTACACACTCCAAAACCAAGGCCATCAGAGATATCACAACACACACAACATACAACAACACCTACTGACAGTGACTATATATTACATAGTTAGTTACAAATAAAAATAAAGATTTTAGATGTACCACTTTAGACTCAATATAAAAAGGTTTCACTAAAAACAATAACATAGGAATCAACAATAAAAAGAATCTACATAAAAACAAAACAACAACAACAACAACAACAACAATATCGGTATTCTGATAGTGTGTTGTGTAAGTAGAAATCTGTGAAAACAAATATCAATAATCCAATAATCAAAGTGAAATAGTATAAATAAGTAACAACAACGAAATTAAAAAATTAATAAAAATAACAACCATAATAACAACAATAGTCATTTGTAATTAAAAGAATACACACAGTTAATAAAAGAGTTAACAAAAATTAAAAGAACAGAGTTAATAAAAAGAGTTAATAAAAATAAAAAGGTTACAATAAGGGAGGAAGGAAAGGTTGCACATAGGTAGGTTAACCTAAACATCAATAAACTAATAAATATGTGTGTTAACCTCTCTATGGGTTATGTTTCTTTATTACAAATTGTTGTTGTTATTATGGGTTTAATTGTGTTTAAGTACAATTTTTTGTTATTATGACTATTATGATTTATTATATTATTATACATTAATTTTTTAATCGCACTATTTCTAATTGCACAAATTTAAGAGAGGTTGGATGCGTAACTTTTCTGTAGTTAGGTCTGTTTTGTTTTCTTTCCTTTTTTTTTTAATTCTAATTCAACAAGGCTGCAAGCAACCACTATTAAGTTGAGAGTTACTAGAAAACAAAGAATAGAGTTATAGAGTTAAAGAGCAAGGAAATGGTTGACAAAAGACTTGAAAAGTTGTAGGTTGTATGAGTCAGGAAAACATGAAGACGAGAAAAAGTTCCCAAGTGTTGAAGTGCAGAGGAAAAAACTAGACGTATAAAAGTTTTAAGAGAATGCAGAGACAGATACAGTAAATATTGATACATACATCAATATAGGAATGTCCACAGTATTGCAATTTTTATATATAGTTTTTTGCAGTAAATAACTGAGTTTTGTTGGAGTTAAAATTCACAAGCCACTGCAAGCCCCAACCTGTTACAGAAATGAGATCAGATTCAAGATTGGCTGCCTACTTTAAGCAATCAAAAAGAGAAGACTTTTTGTCAAGACAGGAGTATAAAGTTGAGTCATCAGCAAATAGAGCCATATAGATAATTTATTACTTTAGATGTAATTTTATTGCAATAATGACTTATATGAGCCTTTAAGCAAGGATATAGGTAACAAGGTTGCATCCTTGACAAATGATGCTAGTCTTTTTTTATTAAACTTTCCAAGAAATTATTAGTGAATGTATTGCTACCATAATGATAGATACATCACTAATGTATTTATTATTATTTTTTTCTTTTTTTTTTACGGTTTTTATGGTTTGTTTATGGTGTTTATGGTTTATTTATGGGTTTCTTTATGGTTTATTTTTTTATGGTCTTAAGTATTTGAATATGTATTTATTTCAAACGGATCATCTAGTTGGAAATCTGTAGATGGTGTAGATGGGTGATTCAACACCAGCTGATGTTTTTTTTCACTAATTTTTTTAAGCGTTGTCCTTAAACTCTTCATAGTTTAAAACTGACTATAACCGATACTTTTATTATTTTATATTATCATTTTTCTTTCTTGCATCAGGATTGTAGATTGTACACCACTTTTACACCATTGGATGATTTTCATATAACATGAAAACAACAATGAAATATTGATCTGGTACTCCTTGAGTAATTACAAACACATAACTTCTATAAGGGCACAAACAACAAAACTGATCTAGATTAGAAGAACATCAGGGTTGGTCATAAAATTAAAAAAAAAAAAGAAGTTTATCTTTTTTTTATAATTCCATTTAATAGTAGCATTGAAAAAAAGATACCTTAAAATTTAGAGATTTTAAAACCCAAAACAACTGAATATTTTTCTTGTAAAGAAGATAAATTTTGAAAGCTGTTATATAATAAATTAATAAATTAATAGAAATAGAAATAAATTTAAAAAATGTAAATAAATTTATAAAAGATACTGATGAATTTATTTATCTTATAGTTACTGAAAAGAATATTGACTCTTTCTACAACTGTAAAAAGTGCTGTGAATTCTGGTCAAAATTTTTTAGAGGTCACAATAGATATTTTTAATCCACATGACAGCAACCAACATGATCTTGTTGATGCTTGAGTTAAGCATTGTTTTGATCTTGAGGGAGCACCAGAAATCTTAGGAAACTAGGAAATCTTAGAAAATTAGGAAATAAGCTAATTATTTCAATTTTCAAAATTTGAAGAATTTTGATGCATTTTATTTCAAGTATTCTCAATGTTCAATATAACAAGTGTGCAAGCTCGTTGTTAGATATAACAAGTTTTGTTATATCAATGTTCAATATAACAAGTGTGCAAGCTCGTTGTTAGATATAACAAATTTTGTTATATCAATGTTCAATATAACAAGTGTGTTTCTTTTAAAAAATAATATCATTATGGCTGATGTAATCATCAGCCATAATGATGATGTAATGATGTTGGTCCATTTAAAGATTATCTTTTAAAGATCTCACACTTGAGATTACTTTTCTATTTTCTATCACTATATTTAAAATAAATACTAAATAGAATAAAGTATTTTTTAAATCCACATTTTAAATCCAAATTATTTTTCTAAATTTTTTATTTAATTTTAAATATAAAATGATTTTAAATATAAAATGAGATTAAAAACATGGTTTTATTTCCAAAATTTTACCAGTTATGTTTAATCAACTCGGTCTGTTCTTGATAGATAAAAAGTACAATTTTAGTTTCAATATTTTACTATCAATTAAATAATACTTTATCATTCGTGACGTTAGGCAGCATTTGACTTCTCATTTAACAACAACAAGTAGATTTGATGAACTATTAAATTTAATTAATCCACTTTGTCACTAGAAAGTAGATTTATTCAGAAAGTGGAAGAAGTTGATTTTGATCAAAGTGAAGAAGTGTTCAGAAAGTACATTGTTTATAAAGAAACACTGTTTTGTTATAAAGTACAAAATGTTGCTTAAAGCTTTAAAAAAAAAACTTAAACTTTGTGAAAATGTGAAAAATAATGTTATAAAAAATTTATAAAAATAATACATACAGGAGTCCCTCGAGATTGATTTGCTTGAACCACATTTGATTTACTTGAATCACATTCAATTGCGCCATTTTGGCAATCTTAAAATTATTTAAAAGTATATTTTTTCCAATAAATCATTTAATTTTGATAAGTATCTCATTACTAAAAAATTTTTTTGTAAAATGTTTTTTTACAATTCTTTAATGTTTAAATGATATGATGTTGAATGTGTAAGATAATGCAAGTATGGTAATGTTTCTATGGTAATTTGTTATTTTATATTATATTAATATATTATTGTTAGTATTATTGATATATTATTGTTAGTAATTTATTATTATTAGTATTATTGGTATTAAGGTAATTAATATTAATTTATTATTGGTATTATGATAATTTCAAAACCACTTATAACACATGATCATTATTTTAATTAATATCATTTTTGTTTAAATTAATAAAAATATTCTAACAAATATAGAATTTATAAATAAAAACTAGTTAATGATACTAAAAAAAACTAGTTAAAAAATCAAAAAAATTTTATTAATTTTAATCATGTTTTAAACTTTAAATATAAAAACTTTTAAAATTTTAAATTTGAAACCATGAGTCAAAATAAAATTTTAACCTTTTGAAAAAATCTTATGCAATTTTAAATAAAATATGTTTAATTCTAAATTGCATAATAAAAAATAATGTAAAATTTACTTTTACATGCACTTTTTTTAATAATTATATAAATAATAATAGTAAAAAATATAATAATAATAAGAAAAATAAAATAAAAATAAATAAAGAAAAATTTTAAGTAACAAAAAGATTTCTTAATTCACCAACTGTTGCAAACTGAAACTCACCAGTCTTATCAAAACTTCCATCAATAGTTTTTAAGATGCCCATTGGTTGTGATGGTGGTGAATGGTGTGATGGTGGTACACTCTGGATGTTTGCTAAAATTTTTTCTTTATGACTAAATAAAATTTATAATTTTACAGAGATTTTTAAACACAATTTTTTTTTTCCAATAATAAGATAATTACCACTTTCTAATAATAATAAGATGAATAAGAGATTTTTTAACACTTTCATAATTACCACTTTCTACTCAGTAATAAGTGTAAGTCCAGAGAATCTTCATTTGCTAAAACATCTTCAACTTCTTCTTTACTGCAACCAACCAAAGATAATTCATTCCATTCAAGCAGCTCATCACCTAATTGAGCATTAATTACAATCAACATTAAAATACGTGTATGAAAAAGCAAACACAAAATACACAGAAGATAATGTTTAAGAAAGAAGGTTTAAAGAAAGTAAAATAAAAACATTCAAACAAAAGATCGTTTTTTGTTTGTTTTGAAAATAAATTTTTTTTCAATTTTTTAATATTTAATGAGCATTTTTTCAATAAATACAATAGTTTTGAATATTGAATTTCTATTACATCAATTCTAAAAAAATCTTCATATTACTTTAAACAAATGATTACAACTTTAGATTATATTAATGAATAAAACAGTAAAAAAAAATATTAAAAAACCACAAACATTTAACAACCTGGTTTAATTTTTCCAATAATATCCCCAATGCTACCAGGGACTACTGATTTTACTAGTGTCTTTAACAACCCATGCTCATCACTGACTCCCATACTTAATTTAATTCCAAATGCAGTACAGTAATCTAAATAGCAATATTTTAACCCAAGTTCAATAGTTATACATAAGTTTAATATACCCAAACATAAGTTCAATACTTATACATAAGTTTAATATACCCAAACATAAGTTCAATACTAAACTGTAAATGCAATAGTTAGATTTAAATTTTTATAGTGGAAAATAAGCAAAGGAACAATTTTTCCACTCCAGGTGTAAAAACTGTTATGTTGTCTTAGTGTTTATAAACATTATTAAAGAAAAATTGAAAAAAACAAAATTAAAAAAAAATTAAATTTTAAATAAAACTAATTTAAAAATTTATAATTGACATGCTGTAAAAAGTTTTCTGTTCATATTAATTAATTAATTAAATAATAAATACTACTTTTATTAATTAAATAATAAATACTACTTTTATTAATTAAATAATAAATACTTTTGTAAAAAAAACTTATGATTACTTATGGTTTTCATTTTTGTAAAAAAAACCTTATGGTTACTTATGGTTCTCATATTTCATATAAATATTTAACAGAATACTAACTATTGTACAATATAACATGGTAAGCTATAGTAATGGATAATGTAGTTTTGTCTTTTTTTTTTCTCAATGAAATAGTAAAAAAAATTAATGGAAAAGTTGTTAATTCAATGAAATAATACCTGGAAACTTTTTTATAATATTAGAACCAATGGATAAAAGTATATCTCCAAGAATCTTGTTTTCATCATCAGGACGTGACCAATGAACATGATGACTCACCAACGACTAAATAAAATTAACTTCAATTTAAAAACTAATAGATTTAAAATACAATTCTTCATTTCACATGTAACTTATATATGTAGTTCATATACATATATGTTAAATTCATTGTAAAAACTGTATAAAATTTTTTATCTAATTATCATCTCTATATTTACTTCTAACTTAAATAAATACAAAACTATTTTGCTTTAAACAGAAGACGCATAGACAAGATGCCCTTAACTTTAGAGTATAATTGAATTGGTGAATGTTAAAAGGGTTGTCTAAAGTCCAACTATGTAAACTTTCGGGAAACTAAAAATCTGTATTTTCCCCCATAGTAAATTTTCGTTAATGGTTTAATAATTTTTTTTTTTTGAAGAGGATAATGTTTTTCACCTTAATAATTAGAATATTTGCCTTCCTGTCGACCTATCAAATAATGTTCATGATAATTGAGATTGTATTATAGACAGTGTTGATCTACCAACTGTAAAATCGACAGTGTTGATGTACTAACTGCAAAATTGACAATGTTGATGTATCAACAGCAAAATAGTGGTTAATGCCAATACCAACAAACAGAAAAAAACTGATGCTGATACCAAATAATTACTAAAATGTTTTAAATAAATGCATACAATAATTAATTGTATAACTTTTTTCTCAAAATAGCATACCTATATAAAGGGCTGTCACCCAAAAATTCTCAGTAATGTATAGGACTGTTACCCAAAAAATTCTCAGTAATGTATAGGGCACGGTTTATTCAACATATAATTATTTTCATAATACAGAATTAAAAAATTCAAAAAAGCAATCAGCTACTAAATTGACAAATCAATAAAAAAAGGCTGGTTGTGCAAAAATTAAGCAAATGCCAACACTGATTAATTGGAACAACCCTGATTAATTGGTAATAAACAGTTGTTTTTATTATTTAAAAATGCTTTTGAAATCTGTAAAGATAAAGTCAATAAAGAAGTTAAAAATGCTATGAACATAAAAACTGATGTTGACATAAAAATGCTATGAACATAAAAATTGATGTTGACAAACCGTTTTAAATCAAGTTATGAAATAAAGATAAACATGTACATATACATACAGCCGTGGCCATAAGTTTAAATCCACTTGCACTTTTTTGAAAATGAAAAGGAAAAAAGAAAAGATTTTAAAGTGAAATAAACGTGTTTTTCAATAAAAGTACCTCTCCCCCCCCCTCCCCCTTACCTTATATTACCTTAGGCTTTTATTACCTCTGCATTACTTTGCTTCATATTACCAACTAATTTTTCACAATCTGCCTGTAGGATTTTTGCTTATTCAAGAACAATAACTTCTATCAAATTTTTTATTGAAGTGATCCCATGTGTACTGACCCTTCTTTTAAGCATTACCCATAAATTTTCTATGGATTAAGGTAAGGCAACTCTGCCAGATATTTTAAAATTTGGCCTTTTTTTTTAAAAAAAAAACCATTCCCTTGTATAATGTGCAGTATGGCATGTGGCATTTTCTTGCTGAAATAATATTAAAGATTTATCTTCATTTGGAAATACTTTTTTGACAGCTGTGTACACTTCTACCAGTTCAAATATTTTTTTGAATTTAGGCGCCCTGCACACAAAAACATTTCCCCTGGTCCTTCTGCAACCATACAACCCCATATCATTATATTACCTCAACCAATTAACAGCAGACACTAGATAAGCTGATAAAAATGCTTCACCAGGTCTTTTTCTTGCAAAAATTACGCCAGGACCAAAATTCTGTAAAAAAAATCCAAAACATCAAGTTTTAGCGCTTTATTGTTTTTTATATAAATTTAGTAATAAGGATCAATTTATTCATTATTTCTAAAGAACATAGTTTTTACTTACCTCAAAATTGGATTCCTTGAAACAGATTTTAATTCCATTCTATAGATCTGCAATCTTTGTGACATATCGTCCATTCTTGTTGGACGATATGTCACTTGTCTTACAGCCTTTTAATCCATATTCAAACAATGTTCTTCTAAAAGTTTATGCAAAAATATTGGCTCTAGTCGCCTCTGCAAGGTCATGTGATAGCAACAAAGACAATTTACGACTTTGATTTATGACAATATTTAATTTTCTAAAGCCATTTGTGATATCATTCGGTTTTCTTGAGCTGTAGTTTTCTTTTTTTCCAGTTCAACGTCTACTTTTAAGACTCCTAACAAATTTTGTGCCATTTTAAAGTTAGTTGCACTGCATCACAGGAGCAATTCAATATTTTTGAATTGTTTCACTCACTTTTTCCTTATGAATGCAAAAGAATCATCTGTCTTTGTATTCCTTCACTAGGTTCATATTGTTTTCCCATTTTCTCAATGAAAAATACTATTTAATAGAATTTTCACACAAAAAATCACTATTTACACTTTTAAACTGTTTAAATAGATCTGCACTGTGCAAGATATAATTATGGAATAAAAGCAAAATTCACATTTTCATTAAAAAATTGAGAATAATGACATTGCCAGTAATAAAATATGACTTAAAGGATTTCTTGCATCTGACTTAAAACCAATTTATTGATTTAGCCCGAATATTATATATTTAAAGTATATTAGCTGTTATTTTTAACAAATTTTGTGGATTTAAGCTTATGGCCACGACTGTATAATATTATATATATATATATATATATATATATATATATATATATATATATATATATATATATATATATATATATATATATACAGTACCTGGCCACAATATTATGATTACTTCAGCCTTTCGACATATTTTAAGGTGAGTATATTATTATTACTAACTTATTATACAATACTGATATCTATTGAATAAAATAGAAAAGAAAATTTATTTATAATCATGACCAATGTGAAGTTAGGTGTGTTTTAAGTCAGCAATCTAAATTTTTGTCAATTTTAAAGAAGATGTGGCTGATCTGTCACGTACTTTTTTTTTTTTATATTTTAACAGTGTTCTTTTAGTGAAAAGTGTTTTATTATTTTTAATACATTTTATAAAGTTACTATAAATAGCAAGAATATATAGTACCATTTTATTAACATATTTAGTGTAACAGGTTGTAATTAAAAATTTTAATAAAAAATAAACATGGGTAAGGACATAAGTCCAAGCAAAATTTCAGAAGTAAAAGCACTTTTACAAAATTCAGAGCGTTCACAATGGGAAATTGCAAAAATGTGTAAAGTTTTGCAACCTTTTGTCAATAAAATCAAACACAAAATGGAAAACAAGATTACTCTTTCTTCAAAAAGGAAAGGACGGAGTGGGTCAAAACATAAAACCACTCCCAGAAGACAGACAGAAGTTTAAGAGATATATGACTGGAAAATAGAAAAAACTCATCTCTATTGCTGTCAAAACTTGTTCAGCAGTATGGAATACAAGTTTCGGAATGCACAGTGAGGAGACATCTGGCTGAAGTTAGTTTAAAAACACACAAACTGGTTAAAAAACCAAGGCTAACTCCAGCAATGATAAAAAAGTGATTGCTAGGCAAAAAATTATAAGTATATGAGATTGGGAACGTGTAAGTTTATTAATTTTGAATTCAATGTTGTTAAACAAGTGTTTAAATGTTGACATAAACTTGATTACAACCTCACTATGATGATTTTTTCAGGTGTGTTTTTAAGACGAATCAATTTTTGAGATGTTGTTGGACAAATGTTCGAAGAAGACCAAATGAAAAATATCATCCAGATTGCATTGTACTATTAAACATCCGACTAAAGTTATGGTGAGGTCAGTTATCAGTGGTAAAGGCACAGGAAGACTATATAATGTCAATGGTATAATTAACCAAATACAGTATCAAAAGGTTATGGAGAGCCAATTTATCCCCCAAATACAAGAATGGTTTCCAAATAACAAAACGTTTATGTTTATGCATGATAGTGCTCCATGCCATAAAGCTAAAAGGATCACAAACTTTCTTAAAACAAAAAATATCCCCGTTTTAGATTGGCCAGGAAACTGACCTGAATCTGATTGAGAATTTGCGGAACATTTTCAAAAAGGAAATCTCTTCTGAGGTTTCAACAAACAAAAAGAATTTAATTGAAAAATTACTCTATCATTGACACCACAACGAAAAAATTAAGACAGTAGCAATAAACTGTATTAAAAGTATGCCAGACTGAATAGCTAAAGTCATTTCGTTGAAAGGAGGCATGACAAAGCATTAATATTTTTTTATGATTTGCAATCAAAAAGAGTAATTGTTTGCTAAAATGTGTGTATATTGATATTGAATTATTATTTTGTTATTAAGGAAAGATGTTTTATCAATAAAATGTAACATGTTCTCATGTTATATTCTCATAAAATGTAAATGTTCTCATGTTCTATATTATAAAACATTACTGGATTTAAAAAATCTTGAATAAAAGATATTTTAACGGTTCCAACTGATCCTTTGGAGGAAAAAAAAATTTCTTCAAAAGTATGTCAACCTGGTTGAACTAAAAATTTATTAGAATTTTATTAAAGTTTTATAAAAGTAATCATATTTTATTTTTTTTAAAAATTATTAAAAAAAACCCTTTAAAAAACTTTTTTTCTTAATGTTAAAAAACAATTTTATATATATATATATATATATATATATATATATATATATATATATATATATATATATATATATATATATATATATATATATATATATATATATATATATATATATACATATATATATATATACATATATATATATATATATATATATATATATATATATATATATATATATATATATATATATATATATATATATATATATATATATATATATACTGGTGTAGGATATATACTGTTCCTACGCCAAATAAATAGTAATTAAATCTAAAATACATTTACTTCATTTAAGAAAAAAAAAGTTAAAAATATTTGTTTACAAATTTAATCCACCATTTGTAAAAAGAGCAAAAAGCAGCTTCACTTTTTGAAGGTCATCTAGTTATATAATATATCATTGGTCTGCAATGACTCAAT